CATATAAATCATGACAAACAATGACACTACTGATTAATGACAGCCTTTGACAGGTCACAAACAAGACACTTTCTTGCTAAAAGTCAACAGCCGTTGCTAAGAAAAGGGGTAACCCGCATCCGTTGCCTAGCGATGTACAAAGTCAATGTAGCAACACGGAAGTTTCCAATCCCTTTCATTTACTCTATTATCTATGGTAGCACTGGCGGCGCCTTTGATCCGCCCACACAACATACTACAAATGGTTTTATTATTAATTTAAAAGTACAATGTAGCAGGGCAATAAGAATTGCCCATTCAAAAATTTTTATCTACAAAATATTGTGGACAGGAACTTAAATAAACAATCTCAGGCAGAGCTCCTTATAAATGCATATAACATGACAAGGCTATCACGGGTTGTCCTAATTTAAGCTAATGAGATTCATTGTTTGCACATTATCACCTGTATGGTTTCACTAAGTGCTGGGAATTGATATTCAAATTTTGATATTTTCTGAGACTCCAGGCAAACTTCACCAACTGTTACACAATACTTGCTGTATACCTGTAAACAACAACAAAAACAACAACAAAAAATAAAGATATTAATAAAAATAAGTACATGTACATGTATAAGTACATGTAAATGTACTTATACAAATACAAATAAGTACATGTACAAATGTAATTCATACTGGGTTTTCCATGATGACTTGTATTTTATTTATTAGCAAGTCACTGGGTGCATTTGATCTGAGATAGACTGTTAGTTTAATAACAGAATCACTGGGATAAGAATTATCAGAGAATACAACCTTACACTCAACTAGAGGAAGGGAGGGAGAGAGAGAGAGAAGTCGCAAAATGCTTCTTTGTATTTAATTATAAAACCTACTACAAGCGGCCAGTGAAGACATTAGTATTATTTCTTCGTTGCCTTCTTCAGCAGCAGCTGCCAGACCTGCAAGATTACTGTACCACATCTCACCGACATCCTCTGAACTATCAACCTCCTCTAAGCCAGGCTCAGGATTAGGGGGATGCCCCTATCGTTAAAATATCAATTAAAATCACTGCAACATGTACATGCACACATAATGTATGTGTCGGCCATTTCTTTACTTTTAATATAAGCTTAAGTA